CTGACGATTTGTTTTGTCGGTCGAATTTTTGTTCTTGCTATGTTTTAACTTTTAAATGTTAAAGAATATATATGTACTTGTTTTACTGGAGATAGTGAAGGAAGTCGTCTAAAAATGAATGGAATTCCACAAATTTCTTTTGTAGCTTGCAAAAACTACTCGGGTGGGTAGAGTTTTTTTCGAATTTGCACTGAACTTAGTAAATCGAAGTTTGATTCCAGAGGAGATGCAGACGATTCATATTGTTTCTGTGTGTGTGTGTGTTTTACTCATTGCCAGCTATTTAATTGCTAATAGTAACTAATTTTCTTATAGATGACGGGTGAAAATCTTGGAGTTTCTGTTTTTCCCGAAGGGGATAGCATATTTAATTGGATTGGAACTATTGAAGGTGGAAAAGGAACAATGTACGAGGGTCTATCTTACAAGCTCTCTTTACGTTTTCCGATCGATTATCCTTTCAAGCCACCTCAAGTTAAGTTCGAGACAATGTGCTTTCATCCGAACGTTGACCAATGTGGAAATATTTGTTTAGACATCCTTCAGGTAGTTAACCGTAATTCGTGATCAGATTTCTCCTTTTCAATCTACTGCTGGATGTGAATGTTCTGTTGTGAGATTTGGAAGATAAAGAGGCAAAAATGTATTTTTTTTTTTGTTTAGCAATTCTAGTCTCAAGATTCCAACTTTTCGCCTTTTGGTCATGTGATTTAATATTTTGCTGCAATTGCAAAATCTGGGATTTCGGGAATTTGTTGCAATTTTGATCCTCTGAAATTGCAACAAAATATTAAATCACATGACCAAAAAGCGAAATGTTGGAGTCTTGGGACTAAAATTGCTATGGTGTTTAACGAGGACAAAAATGCAATTTTGCCGAAGAGAATTGTGTGTTTCTGCATTTTTTACAGGACAAGTGGTCATCGGCTTATGATTGCAGAACCATTCTTTTGTCTATTCAGAGCCTTTTAGGAGGTCAGTAATGAAATAACTAATTTTTCTTGTTCTCATCTTTTTCAGTTAGATAAATAATTTATGAATGTGTTTGCTTTATTGGTCTTATGTGCAGAACCTAATATTGATAGCCCTCTCAACAGCTCTGCCGCTTCACTTTGGAGGAACCAGGAAGGTTCGTATAATTCCCAAATTTTTTTTTTCACTATTTTTCATTTGAAACGAGACCAAACGTAAACCCGTGTGTAAATTGTTGATTTGCAGAGTACAAGAAAACTGTGCGTAAGCATTACATGGCTGGAGAATCCTTCGAGATCTGATAATACCCTTGGCTCGATCGCAATGTTTTACACTTTTAGACGAGTAAATTTCGCAGCACAAGTTTGAACTTGGTGAACAAAGGAAACATCTTTAGGGAAAGTCGGACGGTTTATCACTTTTTTTTTTTTAATACGAAAAGAGGAATGTAGATTTAGTCACTTCCCACATTTGGTTTTTCCTATGTTTCAATCACCAGTATTTTTTCTGCAACTATATATTTTTCAAATGGTTTATGAATTGTTGGGTGTATAGTCGAGATTTTCATGTTGAACAATAGAACTTCCATACATTTGTCTCCAGTTTTTGTATTTTCCATATTTTTCAACCAATAAATATTATTTGGTGACAGAAAATAGTGATTGTGAATAGCTGGAAATATGTTGGATAGTTAATTTTTTTGAACAAGCTGACTTGATATATTGACACATGTCCAATGTGTATTTATTGCAGGACACGTTTCGATAAACTATTTGTCAATAGCTGTGGATGGCTTTGATGGCTACATAGCAAAACCATAGTTTCCGGTAGGTTTTCTGTTAGACTGTGTAATGGTTTTCTGTTAGATTTTCTAATAGCTGGACAATCATTGTTTAAGGTATCACGGTACTATTAATTCACGGTAGGTTTTATGTTAGATTGGTAATAGTTAGCAGTCGTTCTTTCCAATGGTTTTCTGTTAGATTGTCTGATTGTCTGATAGTTAAGCAGTCACTCTTTCAAATGATTACGGGAGTCGAGTCATTCTTTCCAATGGTTTTCTGTTAGACTGTCTAATAGTTAGACAATCACTCTTTCAAATGATTACGCGAGTCGAGTCATTCTTTCGAATGGTTACTGTAGTTGATCTTCTAATGATTAAACGAGTCGATTTGTTACATCTTTTCACAAAAATGATCTGTACTTTGAGATGTATTTGCGTTCTTTTTTTGGGGAAAAAAATCAACCTTGGTCCACCAATGTTGGGTGTTTTTCATTTTTATGCTTGCAATTTGGTACACTAACTTTTAATTTTTATCAATTACCTTCAATCAATCTTTAAAGGTTTGAATTTGGTACAATAATTTTTTTTTTTTATCGGAATTTGGTACAATAATTTTAATTTTTGTGTTAATTGTTCATTTTTCATTTTTTGTATATAGAAAATCGAAGTTTTCTGACACGATTATCCAATGATATATTTTAGTTTATGAACTAAAATCGTATTTATTCCTTTTTTTTTTTTATCATGTCATCAAGATCTTGGTCTCATACAATTACTATACATTTTAGAAGTGCTTTCAGAAGTTAAAATAATGCGTGACACAAAAATCAAAATCATAATTTAGTTTACATAATCCAAAACACAAAACTGAAGAACAAGATACAAAGCAACATGGAATTGAACCCAAACATTACAAGTTGAAGGGAAAACAAAGGAAAATAAAATTTTTGAAGAAAAAAAAAAAAAAAAAAATCACTCATAGAATTGACAAGGAAAGAAAATTAAGAACAAAAACCCCATTGCATGCACGACTTATGATTATGAATAATATGAATACATATATATTTATTCATAATCACAATAAATAAAATAGAGCAAATCCTAAAGAACCAACATACTCATGCATGGCAACTCCGCCGAATGCGCCCGACACGCTCACCGGAACTCCCCGGACAGTTGCCGGCGCCGCCTTCTTTGGCTCCGGCGCCGGCGCTGGAGGTGGCGGCAATGGATCAAAAACGCCCACCGGAAGAAGAACCCTATCGACTTGGTAGACCGCCAGCTGGCCGTCCGTGTATATGGTTCCGACCACCGTGGCGTTGTCGATTCCGGTGGTGATGTTCACCCCTCCGCCGCCACCCGCGGTGGTGATGTTGAGAGGGAATTGGCCGCGGCCCGTGTCTCCGGCCTGTGTCCGAACAGGATTGCTCAACGTGTCGAACTCGGGAACCGTGAGGAAAGACGAGAGGATGTGGAATAGGACGATCGAGGTCTTTTGTTGGTCGGTTAGCGAGTTGAGTGTCCCGGTTTTTAGGGCCGAGAAGGCTGAGTCTGGTGGGGCGAATACGGTTAGGCCCTCGCCGGGCGAGGATTTGAGCTGCGTGTCGATTCGTGTGGCGGTTTGGGTGGTTTGGAGGAGGTGTATGAAGGTGGTGAATTGGCCTGCTTTTTCGAGGATCTTGGTTATGTTCGTTGGGCCGGGAGGTTTCGGGCCGGGGGCTTGGGCTAGGGTTTTTGAGCCTTGGAGGAGGAGGAGTGAGGGTAGGAAGAGAATGAAATGTTTCATTGTGTGTGTGTGTGTGTGTGTGTGTGTGTTTTTAACTTTTTTTTGGTCAGAGAATGTTGGTGTGTGTAATGCTTAGTGAGAATATAAGGGATGGTTCATGAGTTTATATATGACTTCAAAATTGAAATCATCTTTAGGTGAGGTGATTTGAGCAATTTAATGGTCACAAATTATGGTGGATAATTTGGAGTTTGGTGAAGGGTTTTGTCCAAATTGTGTGAGTGTAGTTTGATCGGAAGTTTGTTTTATGGGGTAAAAGGTTCAAATTGTGGGGATCATTAATTGACTAGTGGATTGTTTCATGACATCAGTAATGCTCACGTACCCATGGTGGACACATGTTAATATGCCCACAGCTGATGTGACATACATACATTGGTGATTTATTTTTTTGAACATTTTAACTTTACCAATGTTTGAATGCCACATAAGTGGTGGGCATATTAACATGTGTCCACCGTGAGTAGGGAAGCATTATCTTTGACGACATGTTTTGTTAAGTGAGGGTGAGTGTTTTATTTTTCTCCAAATGATTTCATATCCTATTTAGATAAAAGAAACTAAAATATGATTTGTATCAAATCTGCCTATATATAATTCACGAATGCGCTGAGCCTACGTGGCTACTTCTGGTGCTTCGTAATCTTACTTGGCGAAGAATCATGCTTCGTAATTAGGTTTGGACAAATAATATCGATATATTAATAATTAATAATCTAGGTTCGACATTCCATAAATATTATTTCTCTAACTTAGGTATTTTAATATCACTTTTACTAATATAACTCTTTAATTATTTTGAATTGGCACTAAGTGACTAATATATCCCTGACTTTGATTTGTTTCCTTCAATTAGCTATTGAATTGTAAACGTATTTTAAAAGTTGATAACTTTTGTATTTTTGTCGGTTTTACATATATTATATATCAAATTAATCATCTTTTGATGATCTTCGATTTGTCATCCATGTTGTATATATGAAATAAATAAATTATATTTATCTTTATAATAATAAAGAATAATAATATTTATTAAAATTCATTAGAAAAATAAAATTATTTATCAAATTGATATATTTATTTTTAATGTAGTTATATGTTGTAAGTTAAAAAATTATTATAATATGACACACGTAAGTCGCACAAATACAAAGTGTCATACTAAATATATAATAATATATATTTTTGTAAAAGGTATTTAAAATTTCAACTACTTTTTTCTCATTAATTTTAGATTTTAAGAAAAAAATTCGCAAACACCCGTGTAATACACGGGTGTTGTACTAGTAATAATAGTAATACCAATTACATGTCATTGGTGTCTTATAAATACACACAAAATAATGAATTTACGATAATATGAAAATTTAATTGTAAATATCGGGCAAGTTACCAAAAAAAAAAATCAAAAAATCAAAAATAAGAAATTAATCATTATTTTATTATTATATTTTTAAAAAAAAAAAATGAAGAGCTGGTGAAGAG